ATCAAGTTATACTACCCGAGCTACAAAAACAACAATCAACACCGTTGTTTACAAAACTGTCATATATATATATATATAACGTGTGTGCGCGCGCGAAAACCTAGAACTCAATGGCTTCCGTTTAGTGCAAACACTAAATGATGACGTGAACTTTTGTGATATTTATTGCTGCCGCCATTGTGAATATCCGCAGTCTTATTCGTCTAATTAGGAATAGGAACCTCAGGAAAACGGAACGATCAAGAAATCCGATGGCACATTGATCCTTCATCAGCACAATCGTCTTAATGGATGGACTGAACATTTCGATACTCAGTTCAACTGGCCCCTATTGACATCAGACCTATCAGCCCCGCCTCGACTGAACAAATACCCCAGCTGATACCAGTGCTCTATTTTAAATGGAGACTTCCCTGGAAACACGTTATCTCAAAAGACCATAAGGCCTCAGACCCAGAGGGGTTATCTTTCTCCTAATGCTTCATCCAAATGGGCACCCAAAAGACAGCAACCAAAGTCGACTCTTGAAAGTGTTTGGTTAATGGTTGAATAAACTGAACTGAACATTAATTCTCATCAAGAATGTTTATCACCATATTATTATTTTATTCAGTTACCATCCATCATATTTTCTCACACTCGGATTCATGATTATCAGTAACCGAAGCAGGAGATTGTATAGCATCTTTATGGCACAATCATTCAGTAAAAAGGAAAACGTTGACTGTACCAGTAGGCTTATTTATTTAGCCTTTTGCCATCATCTCACTGAAAGCATGATATGATCGAATGACATGAGGATCTGAAAACGAACACCGCTGACTCAAAAATTGTCCATCTCTCGGTACTTGTATACAGTAATACGTAAGCTTTGCTAATTAATATTCCTCGAATTTTGGTATTTATAAATGAAACAAAGGGAAGTCACGTCACTCCGTACTTTTACCTGAACAGAAATGTTCTTGAATCATTGTATTTCTCACTGTTTTCTCTTGTGAAACATCTAAATGTAATGCAGTTTTCAGTGAAAATCGCCGGACTGCAACAGAAATCACATAATATCGTTTGTCAGTGAATACGGCCCTGAGGGCAGTCCTCAAGAGGCCCGATTGTCATAATGACAGTATGATTTGATAGCTATTTTAAAATCAACTACACTGAGCTGCATTGTTTTGTAAAAATCTATTCTGTAAGTTTCCATACTCTCGTAGAGGCGAAAATGTTGCTCGCTTGGTTGTAACCAAACTCTGTTTTCCGTTGTTGTTCAGATTGCTAACGGACCACTTATTCCAATCTGGCTGCATGCAGAAATTGTAGTTCCAGTGCTCAAATCTCATCTGAGCAGTGTGGATTTTGGTGAGGTACAGCGTGGTGAAGCCCGTCTGATTGCAATTCAACTGGAAAACCCTTCGCCAATCGCAGTATATTGGAACAAACGAACTCATCGCGAGCTGCCACTGGATCGACTTAAATTACGTGGAATTGGACAAATTGGGTGCCGAGCTGATCGTAAGATGAATAAGTTCAAACAACCGCCAATTTTCGATGTGATACCACTGTGTGGAGTCATTCAACCCGGAGAGAAATGCAACATTCAAGTAAGAAAAATTGGAACGCGTGAAGGGGATTAATCTATGCTTTACTTTTTCGGATATTGGTTTGTATGTCGATTGTGAAAAGTTCAGTAACCTCGCTGGGATTCGAACCTACGCATGGACGCCGCCAAACGACAAATTTTGGTTTGATGAAATGACTTAAAACTGTGGTTCTTCGTGGATTTGGCTCGGTAACAAATGGATACTAATCTACATTTTTGCGGGTAAACGGTAATAACGGCAACGGAGTTAGCTGAATGCCTTTAAGTATTACTTAAATGAGAGGACAAATTTTCTCCATAATGACACAAAAAATGAATATATGGAGACTGAGAATTTAAAGGAAGTTGTACGGAATAAGCATATTTGATGGGCAGTATTAACCAAAAACCTTGTCATATATATATATATATATATATATATATATAGCGGCACGGATATCAAAGCACACAAAAGGCACTTAATCGCACTATTAGGCCAAAAATGCCCCTTTTATTTATAAATTATAGAATCTTTTGTAATGATATCCGTGCACATCAGTGCATGTATCTGAACTGCTGCATAAGGGCCGAAGTTGGGATTCTTTAAAACGTGAAAGATAAATATGTTGCTCGTACCACACAACTGAGTCAAAACATTGGGGATGCTTAGCAGTTTTGTCTGCGATTTCGTTAGCGCACACGGCCGGTCCCAATAAATTTCACGATAAAATTGGCGATTTATTTCGTCAAAAGGCACTCAATCTCCCACATGTTTGCAACTAATTTCGTTCACCTTCCAGGAGTCTGAGGATTAACGGGATTCATTATTTAAACTGCACTTGTTTTCTCACTGATTTACTTTATTGCTTTTTTTCCCAATGCGGAAGTAAATCAAAGCAAATCGTATCTATTATACGTGGTTGGTGCAGCTGCGACAGTGCGATTTTCGCCAACATGACTGCAATGAACCGCTCTATTTATGAACACTCCAGATTTCGTTCTGAGCCCTAGACCTAGGCATGGGAACACATTTACTCACTTTTTTATTCAAAGCGAGCCTGTTTATTGGCCTATGCTGTCGACGCGCCTGCTTGTGGTCAACTGCACACGTATCTCTTTCTGGGTTGTCTTCAAACGGCCGTTTATTTGGGTTTCACCAGTGTGATGGTGAGCGCCACGACTTCACATCAGTTTTTCGCAAGATAACTTGATTGTTGATTTCCTAATGGCAAAAAAGTTGAATATGCTCCTGACTTTATCGTACAGTAGTCCCAATAAATCTCTGCAGCACGAAATGGGCATATGCAGAAATGGAATCTTCCTTGGTACAATATTTTTCATAAACAATCTGCTAGCTAGATTGCTAGTCAGTAGGCATGAAATTCCGATCTTTAAAATCATCCAGCATATAGAGCACCGTGACGGTTTATTTAGCTTACCACACTGAAATAAGACCATTAGAAGACCTCCGGAATCAAATTCTGTTTCGTTTTGTTCCTCAAGCTTCGTAATCTCTGAGAGGACCGTTCAGTACCCACGCTCAGAGCATATTCAGCTTCGTTCTGTTACAATTAGTTGGCATTTTTGTGAATCGTAGCGCATAATCTAACATCATTGTCTCTTTATTCCCGCTAGATAAAGTTTGCTCCATTGGATCAACGTCGATATGAGGAACGTGTGGTATTGCATGTGGAAAACGCTCCAGAAGATCTTCACATACGTTGTTGTGGTTATGGCTTAGAACCGCAGTTGGAGTTTGATCAAACCATGTTGCAATTTGATCCTTGTCTCCCTTATGGTCCCGGTGAAGAACGAATTGTAACAGTTTCTAATCCATGCAACTATCCCATTGAGTTCTATTCCCTTGAAATGGATCCGGTGGCATTTGAGGTAAACGCTTGTTATAATTATTGAGTTCATTATTATTTTGCTGCTGCATTTGTAGCACCGTTATATTTTCGAGGTATCCTGAAAAGAGGATTGGAACTTATCACAAGAACATCGATGCCACAAGATGCTCACCATGAAGTAATGCTTTGACAGGTGTAAGCGACAGGCAGCTGCTCATCATTCTGTGACAATCTCCACAGAAAGCGGCTATTGACAGAATTTTCACTGCGGTTTCAGCCTTCCTTGTTTTAGCACTTCAATTCTGTGATTGCGATTGTATTATAAAATGAATGAAAGAAGATACAAAAGACTGAATAATCCAGTACCAATAAAACAATGGGGAAGATGTTGCAAGTAGGAAAACACAGCACAATTTCCTTTAGCTAATCCAACGGAATTAGTGTTGCACAAGGCCATTATTCACTCGTATTTAACTGTCGTATAAAGACTACACTGAATGCAATCGGGCCGACTTTATGTGTTTCTTACATTTCCCACTGTTGCCTTACGGGCGAAGTACTATGAATGGACCAATCTTATTTCGATTAGGCGTTGAAGGAGGGTGAATGAGAATACCAAGCTGAGGTGCATTTGGGAGGTGTCTATGCTGACTGATTCACGGGCTGTGGATGTATTTCACCATTCGTTAATTTTGAGAAGTTTCTTCGTGACTTTTCAGAGTAAAGCTTTGTCTCCCCTGCAGTCAACAGATAGCTTCTGAAACACACTCACTTAAATAACTTGTAGAAGTGGGCAACAATAAGTAGAATTCTTTAACTGAAGGCAACGATTGTCGTCATTCTGAATGATCATTTTTTCTGTCGAAGTAATTGAGTTTTATCGATTTGGACAGATCCTGCATAGTAATTGTACCTTATCGCTCGAATATTAGCCGAATTGTTCAAATACAACAAAAAATTGTTTAAATGTTGACATAAGATAGCTGCGTGGTATATAGTTAGATGGGAACATTTATTATTTATCAGAATTGACCATAATCGATTTTCACTACCATTCACTTTTAATCCTTTTTGACACTGTTCTAATTTATGATTACAGCAAGACCAAATACTCCGCTCCCTCGATGGTTATGATCAATATGGACAATTACTTCTTCCTCCACGGAAAGCTGGTGAAGGTTTGCCGATGGAAATTGTAACATATTGGGAAGAACAAGTAAAGCGCAATGCAGATCTGAAAGAAGAAACGAACGGAAATGATGAACTGGTAAATCTGCACTCACATATAGATCACCACATGCTCTTCCTGTTCAATGATCTCGTTCTAAAAATTAATCATGTAATGAAGCCAGAGGAATATCGAGTCATTTGGTGGCACGGATTTATTGCGTGTTTGTATCTGAACCGTTGAAACAAGCACTGGACCGAATAAATTTGATAGTTATTCTTCAACGTTTGACTGGGTTTGAGCAATCTGGCAGTGTTGTACTCATGAACGAATTTGGTTAATTCCATTAGGGTGAATATGATTTTGATATGGTTTATTTGACACACGATCCACGCTAAATCCATTGGTAATTCGTTAATCGTGCGATAGTCTGTACAACAGCACCTGAGGTTTTTCGGTCTCCAGCTCCAAAGTCATGTGGTCTATGTCTACTATTGCTGATCTGTTTTTCTTCAGCTTCTTTCCCCTTGTATATTTTTATTTTTTCCGATCCCCATTAGTCTGAAGATTTGAAGATTTCTCCGTCTCTTTCTGTAAAATCCTAATGAAGATTATCTAAGAAGCTGCTTTATACTTGCTCGAAGATAGCTGAGTATTTTGGGCGGTGAGATTTAAGCATAAATAGTGTGGATGTGGTTATTCAGCTAAATGGAATTCCGGTTAATTTGCAGTTCTCTGTGGCCAGCTGAAGCGGTGGTGTGGCGGTAATCACGCTTTGAAGGCGATCGCCAAAAATGATATTGAAAGCTGGATCAGTGCGGATTTCAACCTGGCGGCGTTTAGATGTACCGCGTCATTTTAATTGTGGAAAGTTTTCCGATGACATAAAAATAGAATCACTGGTTGATAGAGAAGTAAAAGGCTCTTGGTGATTTGGATCGAATGCGTGATTGACAAAATTTGTGAACAATAGAGCCGTGAGACGATTTTGTGACTGAACATATTGTAAACATCGGACATTTATCGCATCCTTCATTAGAAGAAATGCTATTTATTTGAATCATCTACTTTTTTTGAATATGTAAAAGATTTCATCATAACGAACGTGAGAATTTAAACCCCAAAGACTTGGGTTGAGGAAACTTGTGGGAACGCAAACAATTATTTTGGTGATTCCAGGGGAAGCCTGATAGATGGGCGGCGGTGGCCCGGTGGTAAGGTCACCAAATTATCACCTCGGGGATGGGTGTTCGAATCCCACCACAGCCGTATGACTTTACCCATTGTGTGTTGAATGGCAGTCCTTTGATTGGCCGCTTCCCCCTTCTTGGAAATTGTACCATTGCATATTCAATAAAAGGAAGTAACTTAAAAAGATTTTAAAAAAAGATTAACAAAAGGATAGCATTTACAGCTCCGTCTCACGTCATAGGATTGTTTCGCAGAAGGAGATCCATGTGATATACAGAATATTCCCAAATCGTTCAATGATTGCTAGGGTTTGGGTATTGGTCATAACTGAGGGGATAGCCATCCGTTTGCTTCACAAAAATTATTATGCATATATACGAATGAGCCAGGCACTGCAACTGTCATGACCTAGTGCGGGCAATTTGAGTGAACCCCACTGGATCGCATCGGTCGATAGTAGGCTAAATGTTCGTTTACACACACAGACAGTCTCACGGTAACAAACAAATGACTACCATTCTTTAAACCTTCTTGTTCGATATACGACTTGTACGAGGATCATTTGAAACAAATGTTCACTCTCTAACACGTTTCTTCAATGTTGTAATGGAAATATTTGATGCAAAATTTAACAGTGTTGTATAAGTACAATCATTAACTGTTTTGCTTTTACTGTACTGAGCATTCAATCCATCATACATCTTCTCTTGTTGATCAAATGAGGCTGACACTCCACAATCTCCGAGACCTGTGTTTGACCAGTCAGTTCGCATTCAATCAGAAGAACTGAAGAAACGTCGACTAACGTCAACCGATTTCTTAGCGACCACTTTGAATCCCGACTCAACTCCCGTAACTGTCGGGCCCAGAGTAATGTGTGATGTGACTCCAGTTTCATTGACCAATGCACGGTATCTTGGTGTGGATCTATCGGGTGGAACGCGACTCTCCGTAAAACGTCAAGGTATTGCCATCATATTGCACGGACCATTGACAGCTATACGAAAAGGTGGGTACCATACGACGTTTTGCCATTCCGATCATTCACGAGTACGTGCCACTGAATTTGCAACAAAAGTTATCCCAGACACTATTTCGCGTGAACTAAATATGCAGAATGTTTAGTTTTTTATTTGTCTTTTTAATCTTCAGACTTGTTAGACTTCTTCACTCCAGAACAGTGTAGAAATAGGAGCACATTTCAAGTGTCCGAGAGTTTTCTCACGAGCGAGAAGCAAACTGGATCGTAGATACATAGATTGCTTGTTGACAAGTAGCCTTAAGAGTGCTTTACAACAATGCGAAAATTCAGCACTCTCCAGCCTTTAAACATAGCCTTGTTAAACGACACTAAATCAGCAAGTTAGAATACACGGTATTATTCGTTAAATTATTGAATCAATATCGTTTATCACTGTGTATGTGGCTTTAAACAAATCCTTAAATACTTGTGGGGTTCGTCAATAATTGAGAGAAATGCTGCAATCACATGGATATCTGTTGTGATGAAACATTAGATCATTTCCTGTAGTTTTGCATTCGCCCTCCGGGAAATAGCTACCAAAAATACAGCGTCCTAAATGCAGCCCATTGCGTGTCTAGGATGAATGTGCATTGTGGTATGTTATCTTATTTTCAACTCTTTTTTATTCAGGAGTCGCCACTTGCTTGGCGAGTTACTATCAGGCAACAATTCTCAATCTGGATCAAATCATATTGGATGCATTGGCCACTAGCCTAAGTGGAGCAGCTGCAACTGTGCGCGAATTCTGTGCAGAAGCAGGGCGGGCAGTTTATTTAGAAGCGTGCAGGATTCGTGAAGCCGAAATGAGGGAAGTGAAACAATTTGACATTGCTGAAATACAGGAACCGGACGATGATCGAAAGCTCTCTGATGCAACCGACATTCCGAACGAAGCACTCAATCAGAGTGAAGGTTAGCACAACTGATCTTTCGTCTTTTGCTTTGAAAGCTTAATGCATATTCACTTGCATCGATTTTTAAATAGCAATTGAGTACTCTTAAGCGTGGCTTAGAGCAACGATATATGTATATCTGGTCTTGTGAAGCATCATTTATAGATTGATCCTGGCGCTTAAAAAAAGCGAACACACTATTCATACATTTGTTTCAAGACTAAAAATCCAAACCTGACCTTGTTCGAGTGTATCCTAATGGGTCAGATTGTATTAACAGATCTATCACTGATATCAAACCCACACTATCTCGACAAGTTATTACCACACTTCCTTAAACCTAACTAAAGAGCCCGAAAGTGTCAGGTGAAGCCTAACCTTCCCCCGAGAACTCTCACGATATGATTCAGAAATGGATTGGGATCAGTCGCCACCGTGTGATCGTGTCAGCGTTCTCTCAATTCTTCTNCAGAGTAAAGTACGGTGACCTGATTTCTGGCAATACTTCCGCCGCCGCCCACGTAACCCCCATTCCGGACAAATGTCCCGACAGTGAGCAACCCTATAAATACCACACATTTTCCTCCCTACTCGAGCGCGTTTTGGCTGGCGATGCCAATAAAGGCTCGGTCTGTTATCCAACTTTTTTTTTCTACTGGAATCGTTGGGATACACATCGTAAGACCGAGCTCTATGAAAGTTTGGCAAGACACAACAGAAAGTCGGTGAAAATTTGATCGGGCAAATCGTAAATGGTATTGAAGGCCATGTACTTATTCTCACAATTCACTACCCTTATTGTGATAAGTCAACTCTTCAGGTAGACAATGCCACACCTTTCTAATTGCGGTGCGTACCTTTTGTGTCCCTGTCAGGACTCGAACCACGATCAGTCAGGTCGGGACTTCAAACCCCTACCCATGAGCTACACAGTCGACGGTTATCACCTTTTTGCGAATGGCTCAATCAATGCTTAGAGTATCAAGCTTGGATTAGCCCAAACGATTGTTCAGAGGCACCAGGCACTCTTAACCGTGTAGCTTAGGGGTAAGGGTTTGAAGTCCTGGCTGATCGCGGTTCGAGTTCTGACAAGGACACAAAAAGTACGCACTGCTGACCAGTCCCAAACAGGACGGAACATCTTTCCAGTGCTATTTGTTGGTTATCACAAACATTTCCATCGCATTTGAATGCATAAAACAGTGAGGAATTAACGATCTCCCCAGAAGTGAAACCCATGACGAAGACCATCAAGAGTGCCCGGTGCTTCCGAACAATCGAATGGGCTAATCCAAGCTTGATAGTCTAAAAAAGGCTAACTAGTCTTTGAAATTCGCCTTGTAAGATCCAGGTAGAGTATTTTTCGTCCACCCATTTTACCGTTATTCATATTGTATATGCGGATAACGGTAGGTAAGTTACGCCAAATATCACTGCGGTTTATCGTGATGTATTTCTAAACCCCCATTACCGACGAATCAAATGCCACAACGGTATTATAAGGGAGATCTAAAATACACTACCACTGTTAGAAAAGGTTCCAATAGTAACACGTACGGTGTTTTATTTTGCGTTTACAAGCCCTCATATAATTGAACAAAGATCTACAATACAAATTGAATGTTTACCGTGCCATATTTCCATCTACAATGAACTCCGATTTAGAGAAGTAGATAAATTAACAGTCCAGGTGATCATAAAGCAACTTTGCTATCACTGAGGGATCGCTTCAAACGATCGCGAAATGGCTTCCGATACCCCGCATCCACTGCGGAACTATTGGCATATAAGTTACACATTTAGCCTTTAACCATTGATAATCACGATGAAATGCATCAATTCCTCTCAGACAACTCCAAGGCGTTCGGTTGAGTTTGTCATGTCGAATTTCCGACGAATCTTCCCTAGTTTGGACTCTCCCTGTGTTTCATCACTTCGTGTAATAAAAATGTAACTCTTTATATAGCTACTTGAACTTATGATCAAAATTCCTGAAGTGCTTACAGTCTACAGATTCCGTTTATTTTCCATCGTTTTCGCTAAGTAATAATTTAACTCTCGGAATCTAGCTGGATTACGTTCTCAGTGGCAAAATGCGCCTCATTCTAACATCGATTAGTCACTAACAGATCCGTCCGTCCTACCTAAACCTTGCACCAGGAACTGGAGGGAAACCGCGTCGGGGGAATGAGGTTGTTGGTGCATCAGTCACGGTGATGCATGGACTTCAACACTCAGATGGTGAACCTGCTAGTCGAGCTTTGCAGGGAACGAAATCCGTCCCGCGGCGCACGTCGCACATGTCACATGGAGCTGTGGATGCTGTAAGTTTCTACACCCAGACACAAAATGGCATTTGCCTACTCTTTGCTCTATTACTACTGCTATACCTTCAAAACACCAGTGCTGGTTTAGGGAGAACTGTTTATTGCGAACCACAGTTACGGTATGGATAAATTGGTGTGCATATGGCAAGAGGTCTCATTGGAAATATGCCATTAAAACGCCCAGCAGCATACAGGATAATGATTGGACACCGGCCCCCAATGGATTGCGGTTTTCGCACGCAGCCCCGCTGTCCTGCGGGTCAGGATTTGGCTAACCAAAGACTCCGGTTGTGGGTTCCTCAAGAAAATTCACCTGCCT